CTCCGTGGGTGGCGTAGGTTTTGAAAAAGAATGGATTCTTCCCTTTGGCGAGCCCTCTGCCAGAGTGGTTTCAAAGCCCCTTTATCTAGCTCTGTGTTTTCTAGATGGAGGCTTCTTTATGACTCAGATGTGAAGTCCGGTGAGGCTGACCATCTGAGGGGCAGAATCTTCTCCCCTGCTGACAGAGGAGAGGCTCTTTGGGGTGTTGGGCTTAGTGTGCCTGGTTTTCTTCCTTCCCTCAAAATGCATGTTCCTTTAAAACACAGACAAGCCTGGCCGGTGTGGCTCAGTGATTGTGCATCGACCCATGCACCAAAAGGTCAATGAGTTCGATTCCCAGTCAGGGCACATGCCCAGGTTGCGGGCCTGATCCCCAGTGGGGGGCATGTAGGAGGCGGCCAGTCGATGTTCTCTCTCATCAATATTTCTACCTCTCTCTCCCTCCCTCTTTCTCTAAAATCAATAAAGAAAAACAATATTAAAAACATAGACAAGGTGCCCTTAGTCCCCAGCAGGTGATGTCGGCCGGCCACCCCTCCCCACATTCACCACGTATTCCAGTTCCCCTCGGAGGAGACTGACCGCCAGGCTCACTGGGATCCCCACTCCACAGGGGAATCCAAAGGCAGATCCTGTTTGCAGAAGGGATTGAATTTGATCTCACTTAAGTATTTTCAAGAGGCAATAATTTACATAACATGAAATTCAAAAGGCATATTACGGTACCCTAAGAAAAATTGTTCCAACTCTGTTCCCTCGTTTGAGCAAACCTATTCGTGTATTCAGGTAAAAAAGCATCTGTTGTCCTGCCACTGTTTTTAAATGGAGCTGGTGGCATGCTGTACCCAGGTCCTGCACCACCGCCGACCCCTTCACCCTCTCCTGCTAAGAGCGCTCCGCCTGGGACCGCCCCCGCGCGACTGGACCGCCCGCTGCAGCGGAGCTGCCGGGGCCAGCCTGTTGCCCTTCACGCAGACGACAGTGGGCACCTTGTGTGTGCCTCGGTTCAGACGTGGGCAGGCGGATCTCTGCGGTCCAGTCCCAGAGTGAGATTGTGGGTCGGAGGTTAAATGATCTTGTAATTTTTAAAAAGATCACCAAGTTCCTCCCCATCAGAGTTGTGCCGGTTTGTACTCAAATGATTAATAGACAGAGTCCCTCTTCCCCCTCCTGTTTCAACAGAATGTTGTCACACTTCCGGATTATTGCTAATGCTGATAGGTGACAGGTACGTTCTCAGCATGGTGTGGGGTGGGGGCGAGGAGGGGACACGTTGGGAACTTCGGGTCCAGCTCACTACTGTACCCACAGCAGCAGACGCTCAGCAGTGTTATTCGGTGGCAAAGAAATGGCCCACTAGCTTTTTAATTTTTGTTTGAAATGTAATTTTTAAATTAACAGTAGAATTGACTCTTTGAGGTGTATAGTTCTATGGATTTTAACACACATAGATTTGGGTAGCCATCCCCACAATACAAAATGGTTCCATCACCCCAAAAAACTCCCTCCTGCTATCCCTTTGTAGTCCCACCTCCCCCCACCTCTAGACCCTGGCAACCACTGATGCCGTCTCCATCACTATAGTTACATCTTGTAGAGAATTTTACGTAAATAGAACTATGCAGTACGCAGTCCTTAGAGTTTGGCTTTTTCTGTTCTGCATATTTTCCTGGAGACTTCAAGCTGTTACATGGTCAGGAGTTGGTCACTTTGTATCGCTGAGAAATAGTCCATTGTATGCTGTAGCACAGTTTACCCATTCGCCCACCGAAAGCCGTTGTGGTTGTTTCCAGGTTTGAGTGGTTATTAACACAACTGCTTAAACATCCATGTCTGATTTTTGTGTGGATATAAATTTTAATTTCTCCTCAGCATAGTTTTCACTTCGTAGTATGAGTGAGTTTAGGAGTGTGTCCATATGTCTCAGGGGCAGTCAGAGTCCCTTTTCTACAGACTGTCATTTCCTTCTCTCGTCTTCCTGTTTGACTGTCGGCGGTTTGAGTTTAGACAAGCTGGTTTCCGGGGCTGATGGGACCTGTGAATGAAAACGCCTAGCATTCTGTTAACAGATGCAGGGCTGAGGTTTGCGAGAGACACCTGCAGATGCAGGTGTGTGGGCCACACTGGTAGAGAATGGTAGAGCCACGCAGGTGCTCAGCGGAGAGAACACAGGGCTTGCGGACAGAATCTATGCCCATGTTCAGGAGGTGGAAACAGGAGAAGGATCTGAAGGAGAGCCGGCCAGTGGGGCTCAGTGGACTGAGTGCCGTCCCATGGACTGAGAGGTCCTGGTTCGATTCCCGGTCAGGGCACATGCCCAGGTTGTGGGCTCGATCCCCAGCAGGGGGCATGCAGGAGGCAGCCCATTGATGTTTCTCTCTCACATCGATGTTTGTATCTCTCTCTCCCTCTCTCTCTAAAACATCAATTAAAGCATTTTTTTTTTTAATTAAAGGAGAGACTTCTTAGGCGTCAGAGAAGGGCGAGGATGGTGCAGGGTAACATTAATAAAAGCTGAATATTAAAGGACGGCTGGATAATAGGGTGTAAATCCACAGGGCGCAGTGTTCAGAAGAAGAAAGAACATCTCCTTCCAAGAAGTCCAAGCCAAAGCCCTACCACTCTGATTGGTCCAGCTTAGGTCACATGACCACCCCATACCCATCACTGTAACCAGGAGATACAGTGCATTGATTGGCCTACCTGGGTCATGCGCTCCAACTCCATACTTTCCCAGAGCCCCGGGGATCCCCAAGGAAAAATCTGAGGCTCTTCAGTCAAAGATATAGATGCTAAAAAGCACCCAGCGAATGATTGCAGGTGGTCTTTGAAAGCAGTGTGTGAGCCAAGTGTAGGGATTTAAACAGCACTTGTGTTTCCAGCCGAGGAAGTTGGGGCGATGGTACAGAAAATTCAGTCCAAGAGTGTGGCTTAGTTTTGGTAACCAGGATGCTTAAATGAAGGATTTTTCTTTTCTCCAAAAAGAAGTCGCCATCAGCGTACAGTCATAGGCATGGGAAAAGGAGTCACGGGAAGGAGACCATGGAGTAGGAAGCCTGCCAGGGGATGCCCGAGGAGAAGGAGGATGGTGGAAGTAAGCAGGTGACACCCCAGTGCCACAGGGACAGTGGGCCACAAGGCTTCCTCTGGGGAGGCAGGCGGTCCCCCTCCCCCACTCTTGCTCCTCCCTCTGCTCTCCCCACTGCAGCCAGAATGATCCTTTATAGTTTTAAATATGTTTTTATTGATTTTTTAGAGAGAGAGAGAAACATTGATCGGCTTCCTCCTGCACGCCCCCTGCTGGGGACTGAGCCCAAAACCCAGGCATGTGCCCTGACGGGGAATCAAACCGGGACCTCTCAGTCCACGGGATGACGCTCAATCCACTGAGCCTCACTGGCCGGGCCAGAATGAACCTTTAAACGTGAGCATCTCCCTCAGTTGGTAGCCAGTGAGCTACTTCAGTGCTTCACTTGCCCCTGGGTCTAGTCCTCATGAAGTGGACTGGACTTGAGGGCCTTGTCGGGGCATCTCCTGCCCATGTTTACTCTCTGTTCTCCAGCCCGGAAGGACCACCAAGGTCCACACACACGGGCCTCGGTCCCTCTTCAGTAACAGAATCATCTGCCCCTCCGCTAGGCTGTGAGCTGTGCCTAGGCACAGGTCGTATTTGTTTCCCCCACACTGACCCTCTAGCTCCGTGTCAGGCACGTGGCGGGCACTCATGCGTATTCCCCGGAAGGGTGGATGGACGGATGGGGCTCACTCATCTTGAGATATGCTGTAGCCTCGGTGATTTTTTTCTCAGATCTAATTCTCACCCATTGTTTGAGGTGTCATTTTACTGGAAACTATGCAAGAGAAGTAATGAACTTATTGTAAAATGAAAGACCAAGCCTTTGGAATTCTAATATATATATGAAGAAAGTGGAAGGCAACAAGCCAAAGTATCGACGGGGTTGACTCTATGTAGTGGAAATAAGGATCTATATTTTTCTGGGGAGGGAGGGGGACGGAGGAATCAGTAGGGGGAAAAGGAGAAACATCTGTAACAAAAATAAATAAATTAACTTAAAAAAAAGGATCTATATTTTTCTTATACTTTTTGGTGTCTTCCAGATTTTCTTCAGTGCATTTGGGGGAAACGTTTTAGATATTTTCAACCATAAACTTTCATAATAACCCCCGTGAAACTTTGTAACAAAACCACAGCAAGCTTCTCATTCTGACTTAGATGTATCCATCCATTAATTACATCGACTTCATCTTCCGATACATTTTGTAAGGGTAATACTAAAGGAAAAAGAAAGTGGACACTATTAAGGCATTTAGGAGGTTTTATACAGGTATTTAAAGAGGGTTTAAACAGGTATTTAAGGAAGAAAGGAAAGGAGGGAGGACTGGAGGGAGGGAGGAAGAAAACCACACTCTACAATGTTCTCCAGAAGGATTAAGCCTAGCATGGTACAGCCACTCAGTGAATTTGGGGCCAGGTGGAGCTTTGGCTCCCAATTTCTTCTCAAACCACTGCAGATAAATGAGCCCTGTGAGTAACCGTGCATGGCTGCTGCCATGGACTGTGCAACCCCTCAAGCTACCCTGCCCCTCCTCCCAGCAGCTGCAGCCCCACCCCAGCCTGCCCCCAAGGACGATGCCGCCTCTGTGAAGACCACGGCAATGCTTGTCACATACAGTTTAATAAAAAATAACAGAAGGTCGAAGGAACAATGTGAGCATAGCTATGCATTTAGAAAACAAATACAGAATTTCTTCCAAAACAGAAAAACTGGAAGAGAATGCATAACGTGAATAGCGTGATTATTGTATCCTTCCTATTTTCGGATTTTTACTACTTGACATTTTTCAAACCTGTATTAGATGAAACCATGTAAGACTTGTATTTCGAGCCCCGAGTCAACCCTGCCTGACTCAGAGCTTCCCCCGCGCAGAGGGGGGCACTGACGGCTCTGTGTTCTTCCCTCTCTTCCCTCTCCCCGCAGGATGTGCTGGGTGGCGTCCTGATCACCGCCGTCCTCATCGTCCTCACCTACCCCGCCTGGACCCTGATGGACCGCCTGGAGTCGGCCAGCCCGCTCTTCCCCGTGTGTGCCATCGTGGTGCCTTTCCTCCTGTGCTACAATCACCCCGTGTCTGACTTCTACAGCCCGACCAGGGCGGACACCACCACCATTGTGGCCGCCGGGGCCGGGGTGACCATAGGGTTCTGGATCAACCATTTCTTCCAGCTCGTGTCCGAGCCCGTGGGCGCGCTGCCGGCCCTCCAGCGCATCCCCCCGCTCACCGCCGACATGCTGGTCTTGGGTCTGACCAAGTTCACGGTGGGCATTGTGCTGATTCTCCTGGTTCGGCAGCTCGTACAGAACCTCTCACTGCAGGTGCTGTACTCGTGGTTCAAGGTGGTCGCCAGGAACAAGGAGGCCCGGCGGAGACTGGAGATCGAAGTGCCTTACAAGTTTGTCACCTACACGTCCGTTGGCATCTGCGCTACCACCATGGTGCCCATGCTGCACAGGTTCCTGGGATTGCTCTGAGCCTCCGGCCGCTGGAAATGAGCCCGCTGACCAGGAGCCGGGACGCAGGAGTGTTGTTGGGTGGGCAAGTCTTAACAGCACATTTTATTTTGAAAAAATTCTTTGAGTCACATGTTTCGCGGATACCCTGCTGTGTGAAGGGGAGCAGGGAGCAGGGTCTCGTAGGAGCCTTGGGTCTGGAAGGCTCATGCTGCAGGGGAAGCCAGGCTGAACCCACCATCAGGTTCCTGAAGGGTTCCCACCCTGTCTGCTAACTCAGATCGAGACCAGGTCACGGACTGGCAGGGATGGTGGGGTTTGGGAGCACCCAGAAGCCCCCCTGTGCTCTGGAGAGAGGGGCGGGACCTGAGAAACCAGGGTTAGAGCATTTCTGCTCAGTTACAACCTTGCCCAGCACTGAGGCTCACTTTCCGGGAGAAAGGGGTGGCACCCTGTGACACTGCATTCCTTGCACTGGGTGACTTTGTTGTCATTATGATCAAATTGGGCAGCCCGCTTGGGGGGTACGAGCACTCAGACCTCACTGTGAGGCCGTGAAAGGCAGGACAAAGCTGGGAGGTCCTAGGCAAGAGCCCGGGTCCCTCGAGCATCCCAGACTCTGTGGGTCTGAGTATTGAAACGAGGATCTGCCCCCCCTTGCACACCTTTTGTGGGATTCCAGGAACCACCACTACACTCCTCTGACCCAAGACCCCGACCAGCTGCTCCCACTGCGACAGGCAGGTGGGGGTCAGCCTACGCCTGGCTTCTCTGTGTGTCCTGCTCTCCTGCTTCAGTCCTGCCCGTGTTCGGCTTTGTCTGCTTCCTTCCAAGCTGTCGCCTGCACGTACGAGCGGATCAGCAGGGGAACAGAGCACCTCCTCTCCCCGAGCCCGACACGGAGGACTCGCCCTCTGGGACGTTGCCTGGTCCGGTCATCATGCCTCGGTTCTCAGCTGCTTTCTGTAAATCTGTATTTCTGGACTACTAGCTAGAATCAGGCGCCCCCTTTTCCCTCTTCCCACCTCTTACCTCTGGGCAATTTTAAGGGTAATTGATGCAAGAATAACATCAGCCTCTTTTGGGAAAACAAGCCAACCAAACACAAGAGCCTGGACATGGAAGTGTGTCCTCAGACCTAGGAAGGTGACCATCATGCAAACACCAGAGGCTCCTCTCCATGTATTAGGGGTAAGGAACAAGTAGCCACAATGTCTCAAAATTAGTATAACTGTAGCTAACACAGTATCTTTGCGGTCCAGTGCCCAAGCCTCCGAAGCAGCCGTGTGTGACCCTGACAAGCATCGCCAGGCTCACACCGCCAAAGGAGCCGCCGGGGTGGGAGGCTCCCCTCTGCATCCCGGGTGAGCACGGAAACCACCTGCGTCCCGGTCGCCACCGTGTCCCCGGGCCTCATTGCTGGGATGTCCTTTTGTATTTGACTTGCTGCTCCAGTTTCTTGGGAATTTTTAGTGGAACATCCTGCTTTTCCTTTCAAGTCTCACATTTTTCCTGGACAGATGAAAACGGCCGGCCCTTGGACTGTGTGGACGATTCCGCGGCACACTGCCGAGTAGCTGCTGCGCCGTGGTGGGGGCAGTACTTGGGGAGAGCCCCGTGGACAGGCACCGCCCCCCCCCCCCCCCCCAGTGCAGTAGACCAGACACTGTCCTGTAACTCCATCTCCCAGCCACTGGATAATTATGCAAAATGACTTCAGGGGATTTTTCTGAAGCCATCCGAGAGGATCAGCCTTTGCCACTTGTAACATTTGTCGTCACGGCAGTGGGCGTTGGCGATTCATTCGTGTGTGTGTGTGTGTGTGTGTGTGTGTGTGTGTGTGAAATTCCCTGTCCCCTCTGTGTTGTGCCAACAGTCTGAAGGCCCATCAGCTGCACTGATGTATTTAAGGCTGTGTGTACAGTTTGGATTGAGCCAAGCACACTGACGATGGGCCCAAGGACGGTCAGTTTTCAAGTATCTTATCACAGCAGCTGGAGAGCAAAGGGTATTAGTGACGAGGCCACGCTTAGGTTTTGGGCTCCTGCTTTGCAGCCCTGTTCATCCACTTCTCACCCTGCTCAGGTCCCGCAGCCTCTCAGCTTCCCATCCACACCCCACCCGGCCCTGCAGAGTTTGCCTTGGTCTGTGTGAGACATTGAGACTGTCTCTGGGGAAAGACTGCCCCCTGCTGGTGTATCCTGAGTCAGGGTCCAAAGCCCCTCTCTTGACCCGGAGTTCTGAAGATAAAGAACTTTCAAAATGATTTAAAAAAAAAAATTACTTCAGAAAAATTAATAGGATGTGGAAATCTGAAAAATGCAACTACTATCAATATTTTTAAAAAAAGAACTTTAAAACCAAGCTCACAGTGCTGTATCCAATCTAAGCTGAAGATCTGGGGTGTGGCCAACCCTGCATTTGGAGCCTGTGACACCAAAGCCCTCAGGACCACTGGCCTCTCCAGGAGCCAGGTGGGACAACATGCCCCTCTCGGGCCTGTCATCTGCCCCCAACCCACCCCCACCCTGGCCCAGCGCAGCCATCCTGTAGCCAGTCTAACTGTGGTCACTGCACGCCAGTTCTGCTCAGACCTACACCATAACCGAACACACGAGACTCCTGAACTAAGACCTTGAAGAGGGAGGCCGAAATCTCCGCAAGCATGATGGTCGCACTGGCTGTGACATGGGGTTTCCTCGCCCCAACAGGCTGATGCTTCCCGCGCGTCGTCAAAGCCGGGGTGTCTCAGGGTCATACGCTCTGCTTTCTATTTTGGAAGCTTTCAGCTCTCTTGCTTATGTACCATTATGTAAATTTATTCTTTTAAAAATAAAAACATTTTTGTTTGATTATGACTTATTAAATGCTTTAAAAGCCAGTTTCTGCTTCGATTTTTTTCCCCTAGATTTTTTCTTCTCAGAGTTCACTGGACCTGAGGTAGAGAGGGGGCAAAATATCCAGCCAGCTATATAATCCTGTCACCGTCACAATCCAATCACAGGCGGATGTTGGTGTCATGGAGGTCACAGATGGGATGAACAGGAAGTGGTGTGTTTGTGTGCTTAGACACCTCTCACTCCTTGATACTAAAGAGCATCCTTCTGCCGTATCCATAGGTAAATGTCACTGTGTTGAAAGGTAAATGTCATAGGTGTTGCTAGTTTTCATGGATGAGTATCCTATCTACTGAACAAAATGGACACGGTCCTTTTTCACATCATTACAATGAGGTGCTTGCTCTACCTTCGAGCGTCACAAAGTTGCTACTTGAAATGGGACCGAAAGCTGACACCTGTATTTGCAAGGCCAAGGCTAGGATCCTGTCTGTACTTTGAACAGTACGTGTATTTAATAGCGAACACGCTGGGCACCACGGGCACAGGGCAGGGTGAGACCCCATCTGCCCTGCGGAGTGCGCCCAGAAGAGTGGGGACTCGGCTCAGGAAATCACGATTTAAGATCCAAAGCGTGAAGGCATCAGGATCGAGACGAGGGACCGTTAACTCCAGCGTGGGGGCTGCAGCCACACAAGGGAGGCTCGCAGGAGGAGTGCCGAGCCGTGAGGTTTGCACAGGATGGGATGGGAAGGGGGCAGGAGATGACACTCCGTGGAGGGCACGGCTTGTCAGAGACCCTCCCCAACACCTCCACCCAGCTCTCGAACCCCAACCAAACCCGTGCTGGTGAGTGTGTGTGGAACCAACAGTGGTGTCAGGATCAGCACGGGGCTTAGACTTTGCAGGACCAAGTCACAAGAACAGGAAGGAAGCCTGAGAAGGCCCTCGGTCCATTGTCCGCGTCCACGTGGGTCCATTGTCCGCATCCACGTGGGAGCGTTCCGGAGGAGGTGACATCTGGCGGTGACTTCAGTCCCCTTTCATTGTCCTTGTTGGAGGGTAGAACAGTCTGCAGGGTGCACCTTCCCCTCCCATTGCTCTGAACCTCCCAGGCAGCTTCATTCCCGTGTCCTCACTTGGCTCTAAGCAGAGGGGACCGCAGCCTGGGGCTCGGTCCCTGTCCCGTGTCTTTCTCCCTCCTCTCCTGCTCAGTTCTCCGAACTAGTCCTGTGAATTGCATTGAAAAATACTTTTCCACGAGCCTGGCTCTTTGAGGGACCTATAAAGGCTTCCCGTCCCCCTTTACTGAGACTGACTGAGGCCCCAGTTCTCTGGTGCGACGCTGCCTGGGATCAAGAGGAATAGGGGTCAGATGTTTTCCTACAAGTGGCCTGTGTTTGGATTTTTTAAACTTGAATTTTCAGTGCACCGAGGGGTTTGCTGTTTAAAAATCATGGCAAATTCGTCATGTCTAAAAACATAAGGCTCTTCAATGAAGTACTGTGGCCGCCCCTTGCGTCCATTGTTTTCTTGAAGTGGGGCACACCTGTAGTGCAGACTTGGCTATTGACCGGAAGCATATGAAGAATGAGAGTTGAATGTGAACTATGATTAGAATGATACATTCTAAAAACTGTAGCCACATGAGACGGGGAGCTCGATGAAGCCAGAAATCCGTTTTCCTTTTCCACGCCTGTCTTCATGGCATGCGAAAACAAGCAAGCAGAGCAAGGCTGCTGCTAGGCGTTCCGGCTGTGCACACACTGTTGCACACACACACTCAGAACATCTGCTGGCCTAGCTCCTTGTTGCTGTGCTATCAGGGTCCTGGTGGCTGGAGCACCAGCCAGTCTTTCCCGATGGACGTGTTCAAAGAATGTCAATGCCTCTGGACAAAGCGAGTCTCAAATTGCTGCAGGCGGGGCAGGGTGGCTTCTGCCAACTACCTGCACCGGTGCGTCTAAACAGATCTGCAGTGCCCCTCGGTCACATGGGAACCAGATGGGTGGCACTGTGAGAGGCGAAAATTGGGCACAGGGCACACTAAACCGAGATCAGTTTAGCTGTCTTCATTAGGTACTGATAAAATATTTGGCTAGAAAGCTGTTTTTGATGTGGGGGAGAAAAACACAGCCTAATGTAAATTTTCATGCAATCAATCAATTATGCTATTAAATAGGTAGTACTATTTTTTTTTTTTTTATCCTCACCGGAGGATATTTTTCCATTTTTTGTACAGATAGAGTAGGGGGGAGAGAGAGGAAGGGAGAGAGAGTGAGAAACATCGACGTGAAGGGACACATCGAGTGGCTGCCACCCGCACAACCAACCAGGGCCAGGGACAAACTGCAACCGAGGTACATGCCCTTAGCGGGAACCAAACCCGGGTCTCTCCGGACCGCAGGCCGACGCTCCAACCGCTGAGCCAAACTGGCCAGGGCGGTAGTACTATTTTTATCAGGTTACTATTTTCCTTTTTATCTCTTACATCATAGTTTTCTTCTCGAGGAATTCAAAACACACATCTTCCAGTCTCAACTTGTCCAGTCTTTTCTTTGGCTTCTTGAACATGTGGAATACAGTTATAATATGCTTGTCTATAAATTTTATCATCTGTGCCATTTTTTATTCTTTTTATTCATATTTTCTCCCTTCATTAAGGCCTGTATTTCCTAGCTTCTTTGCTTGCCTAGTAATTTTTAAATTTTTATTTATTTATTAATTTGAGAGAGATTTTGTTCCACTTATTTATGCATTCTTTGGTTGATTCTTTTATGTGCCCCAACTGGGGACTGAACCTGAAACCTTGGCATATCGGGTCAATGCTCTAACCATCTGAGCTACTCGGCCAGGGCTTGCCTAATAACTTTTTACTGGATGGAAAATACTGGGAATTATACATCTCTGAGTGCTGGGTATCTTTGGATCACTATAAATATTCTTCAGGTTTGTTCTGGGATGCATTTCATTACTTGGAACTAGTTTGATTCTTCTGGGTCTTGTTTTTAAGCTTTACTAGGCAGAACCAGAGTGACAATTAGTCTAAAGTTGATTTTCCCAGCACTGAGGCAAAATCCTTCTGAGGACCACCCAATGCCTCCTGGTTTCTGAGGGTTTCCAGCTCCAGCCTGTGTGAGCTCCAGGCAGCGCCCCCTGGTGTGTGGGTGGTTGCAGGTCAGCCCTGTAAAAGCAGCAGCCTGACATGCACGCTGATCAGTACACGACCTTGGGCTCAGAAAAGCCTCTGAGTCTCTCTTCAGGGTTCATGCCCCCTACAGACTCTGGCTGCCTGGCCTTCATGGCCTCCCAGCCCATGTCCTCAACACCTGGAGATGCAACTCTGCCTGGGTCCCCATCCCTGCACCCAGCCTGGAATCTCTCCAGGCAGCCAGCTGGGCGATCACAGGCTCACCTGGTTTGTTTGTTGATTGCTGACCCTCCTTGCTGATGTCTAACGTCTTGAAAAGCATTGTTTTACATATTTCATCTGGATTGCTAGATGGGAGTGCAAAGTAGGAAAAGTTTCCTTAGGAAGAAAGAAGATGTATGAATCAGCTCAATGCTTAAGCGCCTTGACAATCAAAGAGGAAGCCAGGTCTAGCTGATTCAAAGTTGTTCACTGTACTGGACAAACACCAACCCAGGGCCTCCCTGGGACAGGTGTCGCACCCATTGTTTTCCGTGAGCTCACCTACACCACCCCTTTCCTTCTTACTGCATGGTTTGCTTACAGGGCTCCCTTCATTCTGGCTTTGTCCACCTCAGGATAACCCCAAGTACTCCTTGTTTAAATGTTCTGCCAACAACAGCTAAGAAATCTCGAACTAACCCCACCCACCTCGATTGGTCTTCTAGCTGGTGTGCAGCCAGCGCAACGCGAACGCTGACCCAGCATTCTTCACAGCTGGTTCCCACAGCCCTAACCAGGTGGAGGGCCGGGCCCATTTCCATGCTCCGTGACAAAGAGCTGTGACTTGGGCAGAAAATGTCTTTGCTACAAGGCGTGGTGTCAGGCAGGCACATCACCACCGTCCCTTTGCTGTCTTCAGGAAAGGACGGGTTTGCCCATGTGTCCGAGTCCCACAGTAACTCAAATCCTGGCACCGCGGGCTTTGCAGTGCTCCCAAAGCAGGGTCACGTCGTGTTCCCTTCCACAGAGGTAATCGAGGCCAAATGGACGGGTGAGGAATGAGACCCGACTGTGGGCCTTGAGCGTACTCTCACCACACTGCATTGGTCACGGGAGAAACACAGGGCTGCAGCCAGACATAATTCAATCAAATCCTTTGCTGGAGACATTTGTTCAAGCCGCAGTCTCGCTAGTGTTTACAGTCATCCTTTCCATTGCGGAAAGTCAAAGGAGACTTGAAAACAAACCGGCAGCAGTGGGCACTAGAACAGCGGCGGGTCCGCTGCGCCTTCCTGTGGCCTGGTGGTGGGGCACCAGCCCTCCCCACAGCGACTCCGTCCGGTCCGGGCCTCAGGGCTGCTCAGACGCGCTGTGTGCTGTGGTCTTGAATTTTATGATGTGTGGCAGCCTCTGTCCCCCTCCAGTGACACACAGTTATGCTAATTCCTTATTAACAGAATAAGCCATCATTTGGAAGTGGCCTGGTGTGTCAAAGGCTTTTGTCATTTAGAGGGCATATTTTGCCGAAGGCAACTGTGTCCTTTTAAGGCCACCAGTCTGTTTTTTATAAAATGGACAAAAGAGCCAAGTCAATACCCACGCATTGGGTTAGTGATGTTTACAGAAAACAAGAGGCCACGGCTGAGAAGCCAGCTTGTGAGCAGCGCCTTGACCAACCCGAGGCGCCACCATTGCCAAGGGCCGTGACCACTGCCAGGGCTAGGGCTGCCGTCAGCTCGCTGGTTCCTAGGTAGGCTACTCCTGCTTGAGCGGTGAGGGTGGTCACCCAGCATCCCCTAGGCGGCTAGGTGGCTAGGTCTCTAACCTGCTGGGCGACATACTGCTCAAGCACCAAAGTCCCCTCTAACTGTCTGAGTAACCCCACGCATCTGTGAATGTGACCATCAGACAGCAAATGTGGATGTTTACAGTCTTGCAGCCTTTAGGACCGTGTGTGTATGTGTGTCCAATTTTGTTACTGCAGAGTTGGACACAACAGAATGTCCATCAACAGAGGAACAGCTGGACTTAGGTATGGCAGAAGCCTGCATCATTTCAAAGAAAGACATAGGTCTGTAGATTTTGAGCTGGAAAAATGGGACATTAAGTGAAATGTTATGAGATATAGTAGGCAAAATAAAAAGCAAAACTTGTGCAAACCAGTAAGTAGAGCATGACCCACAAACTCTGAGTATGTGTGTGGGTGACTGTCCAAACAAGGGAAAATGTCAGTCAATATACAAGCAACATTGTTGGAGAGGGTAGGTACATAAATTTGGGAAGGCCTGCCTTTGTACAATTTTTTAAAGAAGTGACATTGAGATTTTTAACATTTTCCAGTATTTTTATATTTTAAAAAGCATAAAAATACCTTGATATTGTGGATAAATAGGTAAATGACACAAAGTACTGAGTGATGGTGAGCTCCAAGTTACTCTTATTAAGTGTCTCAGTCCTACTTACCAGTCATGTAATTTTGGGGCAGACACATCCTTAGTCTCTGAAGGTCAATTATTCTATAAATCAAGAATTCCTATTCTAACTACCTGCTTTGACTACGAAACTAAAAATTAAAATGTTGAAATATGTGAAAAATATTTTATAAACTAGAGTCAGGCAGGGATATCAGGTTGTGGAAGTTTTCGGCAAGTGAGCAAGCATCGATTAGAATTTCCCTATTGGTACCAGGGCTCCCCGTGTTTCCTAAGGGGTGTCTTCCGCGGTAGAGGCCTGGCAGGGCCCACCTGCTGCGGCTCCAGGCCAGCTGCCTCCCCCCGGCCGGTGCAGGGTGGTCTGGCTGGGGAGCCCTGCCTCCCCCGGGCGGCACAGGGTGGCCTGGCTGGGGAGCCCTGCCTCCCCCGGGCCGGCGCAGGGTGGCCTGGCTGGGGAGCCCTGCCTCCCCCGGGCCGGCGCAGGGTGGTCTGGCTGGGGAGCCCTGCCTCCCCCGGGCAGCGCAGGGTGGCCTGGCTGGGGAGCCCTGCCTCACAGGCTGCAGCTCCTCCTCAGTCCTAAGGGACTGAGCCTGTTTCCTTCCTGCCGTGTCCTGACTCACAGGGCAGAGCACCCACGTGGTGGACGGCACCGGTCTCTCCCCTTTCGTGCGGGGATCACAGGTATCAGTGGGTTTTTTATTACAAGTAGTTTCTGACCATCCAATAAATACCCACGGGGCTGGCCGCTAGAACAAATGGCCCCACCCACTTCAACAACTGGCTCTCAAATGACCCAAGAACCAAGACTTCACCAGTGAGCCTGAAACTAGGGGAGAATGGCATCTTGAGCAGCCATGCCGATTCTAAAATTCATGCATTTACCCTGTGCACACATCTGCTGGTGTCCTGCAAAATCATTAAAATCCATGTTGTGTTGCCTTTTCCTCCCAGCTTGACTGAGGCATATCGCCCACATCTTCATGGCTACCTCAGCTAATGGCACAGAAACCCCCCATCCAGGTTTCCTCACCCTCTGCAGTCAATCTCCTTCCACGGCTCCCGCCGCCCCATCTGCCCTTGACGTCTCTGGAACTTCCTACAGCGGGGCCGCACGTAGTTCTTCCTGGCTGCCTTCTTTCACTTAGCATAACACTCTGAGACGCATTCGTGTTGCTTCAAGCCTGTTGTTCTTGTTGAGAAGTATTCCATAGTACGGATATACCATAATTCGTTTACTCGTTCATCTATTGGACATTTTGGTTGTGGTTACTATGAATACCCACCGTGTGAACAGTTGCACAGAAGTCTTTGTAGGCGAAGTACACCAGGGAGCAGAATGGCTGGATGGTAAGCGTATGTTTCATGTTTTAAGAATCTGCCAAACTACTTTCCAAAGTGGCTGCATCATCTTACATTCCCACCAGCAATGCAAGTTCTGATTGCTCCAGTCCCACCAACACTTGGTACAACCAGTTTCTTCCATTTCAGCCATTTTAATTTGTTCTGTGGTTTTTATTTGCATTTGCCTCATGACCAGTGATGCTGAGCACCTTTTCTTGTGCTCATTTCTTTTCTTTAGGGAAATGTCCGTTCAAATCTTTAGTCCATTTTGGGGGGTGTCTTTATATTAAGGTGTAAGAAATCTTTCTGGATGCTGGCTACCAACCTCTTGACAAGCATTATTTTTTATGAGCATATCTTATGTTTTAAAATGTAAGGAACTGCTTACAAGGGAACAGAAGGGGCAGGTGGAGTCTGTCCACAGGTCTCACCCAGCTGGACACCGCTGCCCTCCCTCAGGTAGTAACAGGACGGCGTTTCTCCTTAGAAGTAGGCTCAGCAAAAGCTCCATAAATGATTCCAGTCTGTCTTTCTTGGCTATTTCTACCTGACTTACTTTCAAGTTTTACATTTTATTGCATTTCATATCATTTCAATAGTAATTGAGCACTTTTCTCCAACATTAGCCCCAGCTTTTTTCAATAGATGATACTTACAGGATGATCCTAGAACAAAGTATTAAAGTAAATTAGGAGGTCCACCAAGGCAGACTGCAGAAGCTTAACTTCGGAGATCTAATGCCTCCCTATAAAATAAGACAGAAACTAGTAGCTCAATTATTTAAAACTCTGATTTTATAATAATGATTTTGGCAAAATGTATGGCCTAGGGCAACAATGGTTTTCGTTTTTCCTAGTGTTCACACCGCACCGACATCCACACACCCTTGTTGGCTCCTGGCAGACAGATCTGCGTATCAGACACAGAGTAAAACACCTCCAGTCGTACCCTCAAGTATCCTGAATACTTGTGTTGTAGATTTTTGCTTCAGTTTAAAATGGTTTCAGAGGCTGTAACTACTAGACCATCACCGCTTCTAAAAGGTTTTCTAAAAATGCTGCATTGTTTCCCAAGGATGGACACCTGTAAACGTAGAAAATGAAAACTAAACCCATCGTGACCCACTCGGTCAGTGTGCTCTGATCGGCCACCTCGTCTCGTCACTGGGGAAACAGGCCCTGCTCCGCAGCAGGGACACTGCCCACAGCGCGAGGCTCCGTGTCCGAGCAGCGCCTGAATTTCAGGACGGCCCCGCCCTCTGCTGGCGCACCCCGCGGCTACTGGACTCTCCCAAACAGCACGTTCGTTTTCACACGAGCTGGCCTGATGCGGGGAATGTGCGGGATTTACCCACGAGGAGACTGTGCTTTCGGTCTATTTAACAACTAAAGGACGCCGGGGAGGAGAAAGGGACACTGGGAGAGAGAACCACACGGCAGAGACCCATCTTCACAGAAAGGGCTCAATGTCGATTTCCAGGGAGGAGCAGGGCATGGTCAGTTCAAACTTGGTGATGACATCAGGATGCAGGACACCCAGCTTCCCAACACTCTGGCCCCTGGCAAAGATCTCAGCACACCGCCCAGGGAAGAAAGCAGGGCCTACAAAACAGAGAGGAAGAAAAATCAACGTTTCTCTCGGCAAACATGTCAATAGACATTTAACACTAAAAGCTCACTAGGATACTTGAAAACGACGATTCTTCTTTTAAAACACTGCCTAGGGAATGAGAGTGCGTCCTCGTGCTCCCTAGTCTGAAAAAGCAGAATCGGACACTGCACCAGGGAACTCTCCTGGGAAAGGTGAGGCACCCAGGAAAGCCGGGCCCTGTGTTTTGATCACGTGGCCCAAGCAGACGGATGGAGACAGGGAACTGAAGGTGTGCAGTCAGGAGACGCCTTAGGGGACTAAGCCTGGACGCAGAACTGGTCCTAAAAGGACAGAGAGAAAAATGAAATGCAGAACTGACAACCCTGACGGGAAGAGCCTGTTTTGAAACAGGTTTTTCCAAAGTAATACTTGCTGGATAAAAAGTCTGCACTGAATGTATTTACTGTTCAAAACATCACTTTCCACCGATTACACGGAGAAACACAAACGGTACCTCACTGGCAGGAAAAGACCGTGTTACCAGAACAGGACCCACATTCCTGTCAGAAAAGGAGCTTTCTTTCTTTTTTCTGTTTCATTAATTTATTTTTGTTACAGATGTTTCCCTTTCTCCCCAGACACCCCCCCCACCCCCCAGCATTGCTGTCTATGTCCACTGGTTATGTGCACACGCACGTAAGTTCTTTGGTTCCTCTGGTCCCACCCCCTCGCCCCCTCCTGAGTCTGGACCGCACGCTGGAGCATCTGCTGTGAAGCCGCCGCACAGCAGCCCAACAAGTCTGGGCTGACCCTGACTTATTTCAAGAGGGGCAGCCAGTTCTCCACTGGGTGCCAATGCACAGCTATGTCTTACTAAACCAGCAACGGTCTTGAGGTTTAAGCAGCTAAAAACAAGCAAGCACACAGGCCCCTCCATGTTCAGTGCATGGCCCATGCCGAGAAGTTTACCAACACTCCTGTACTCCACTGAAATTTTAAGAAAACACACCGACTCGTTCCTCTCACCACCAGCCTGAAAAAGGATGGGGCCCACCGGCCCTGACCGATCCAACCGAAAAGTTTACCGGCATGAACTATAAAAACCCGCAGGCTGGGCCGCAGCCTCCAGCGGCATCGCAGACAGAGTGCATTATTTATGAAAGAGCAACTGCTGAGTCTCTGCTAACGGCTCCAAGGTCAACGTGATGAAGAAATTCAGAGGTGGGGGAGGGGTGCCACTGTCAGGTCAGTGCCAGCTGGACCACAGAAACACATTTCCCCACAAGCACAGACAGGTGTTTATCTTCCTGAAAACAGTTTTAATTATCATTCTTCAATAATCCCAAGGCAACCTGGTGAACATACAAGGTGGTCTGTTTTTCACATTACCCCCAAACTAAACAATTCTGCTTCACTGGCTGTTAAAACAAGAATTTCGATGAACTGCATCTGAAGGTCACGGTTATTTGGCTGCGTGCGGTAATCCACACCTGGGAGGGGGCGGGAAGGGGACCCAAACACAGAAGAACTGGGCTGATGATGCGGAGCCTGTAAGGGAGGTATGGGTAGTAACCCTGGTCAGGTTGGCCTATTTCAACTCTATCACAATGAAAACCTAACTTAAAAGACAATACGTCCCCCTCCAAATAAAGGAGTCTTCAAATGACAAATAAGTGAGTCTGGATAAAGTTACTGATGGTAAGTAGAACAACCAAGAGTCCCAGAAAAGGTTGCTGGGAGTCATTACTCCACCAGCCACCACCCCGGCACCTTTTACACAGAACTACATCCAAGTGGCCCACACTAGCTGACGAAGACACGAGCCATTCTTAAAGGCCATGCAGAAAGGAAATGTTCAAGACCTTCCCTGATAACCTTGCTATGTTTAAGAATCCTCTCTGCACCAAAGTCCTTTCTTTTATCTATCTGCAAATTCCAATTTGATTGGATTCATTTTCACTAAAGCATGAAACCAGACTATTTCAGAATTGAAGCCAGATGTGCGAGTTCTGACAGTTAGCAAAATAAAGCCTAAGAGAAAAGAACTTAGAATTTTTACTTCATAAAACAAAGTTTTGAGTCAGCACTTTTTAGCTATTTAGAAGTTTAGTTATATTCTTCTTTGTTAATTCAGCAAGCATGGTAATGCCAAACTTTGCCTTAGTTCATTGACCAGCTAGGTAATCAGCTAAACAAAAATGTTCACATCACTAACTATACTTCCCTCTTCCCAAAGGGAAGCAAGGAGAGAGGAAGTTCACACGGGGCACTGTTTAAAAGAGACCCAGTACGAGAATTCCTAGGTGACAGATACCAAACACTGCGCGCAGCCTGGACCCACCGCGTCTCCACGCACCCTGACTGCGCCGCAGTGCAGCCCCGTCACACGGCACCAAGGCCCTGTCCAGCTCACCCTCCCGCCCCACCCACCGTGTCTCCACGCACCCTGACTGCGCCGCAGTGCAGCCCCGTCACACGGCACCAAGGCCCTGTCCAGCTCACCCTCCCGCCCCACCCACCGTGTCTCCACGCACCCTGACTGTGCCGCAGTGCAGCCCCGTCACACGGCACCAAGGCCCTGTCCAGCTCACCCTCCTGCCCCACCCACACGTGAAAATAAAAAGCTCACTAATGGCCATTCTGGATAAGCTCACTTATAGAAACTAGACTCTTGAACCTGTGATGACCATTTAAACTTTCCTTGCCATTTGTCATTTGTAACAAGGTCAGATGATGATAGAAACATGTCTTACGATTTTCTTTTTGACTCCTCTGCTCACTTAGAGCGAGGCTGGAGCTCCCTTCTCCAGACAGAAACTGAGACACAAAAGTACCTTCAAGTTTGTTAGAGGTACAGAGAAAACCCAAAAATGTGCCACTTGACTGATGTTGTATGTGAACCAGAAATACTGAAAGAATTTAAAATTACTAAACACCAGCATTTCTTAGTGCTTAAGGAAGGAAGGAAGGAAGGAAGGAAGAACCTTCATGGTTCAAACCAAACCCCGCAGGCAGAAGTGAGCTCTGCACTGACAAGCAGAGGGGACACAGGCCTGTGGGCAGATCAGTATGGACACGCTGCTCTCACTAGCCTGATGCACCTTAAATCAGAGCCTTCCCAGAAGTGAAAGCAATCACATCTGAGTGGAACCTAAATGTGGGTCTAGGCCTATCAGACCTGGACGATGGCCAAGGGCTACTTGTATCTCAACAAACATTTCTGGAGAGAGAGCCTGCTGTGTCTAGAGAAATAAAGTTGCCAATTCAAGGGAAATCATGTTGCCCTGTAAATGAGAATTCTAAAATTCAAATTCTACAAAGTACCTTTGTTTTCTTGTCTATGTGTTTAGGCCCAGAGGCCCTAGTATGCCGACGTACGGTACCCAGCTCCAACCTTGTCTATGTGTTTAGGCCCAGGGGCCCTAGTATGCCGATGTACGGTACCCAGCTCCAACCTTGTCTATGTGTTTAGGCCTAGAGGCCCTAGTATGCCAACGTACAGTACCCAGCTCCAACCTTGTCTATGTGTTTAGGCCCAGAGGCCCTAGTATGCCGATGTACGGTACCCAGCTCCAACCCTGTCTGCGTGTTTAGGCCCAGAGGCCCTAGTATGCCGACGTACGGTACCCAGCTCCAACCTTGTCTATGTGTTTAGGTCCAGGGGCCCTAGTATGCCGACGTACGGTACCCAGCTCCAACCTTGTCTATGTGTTTAGGCCCAGGGGCCCTAGTATGCCGATGTACGGTACCCAGCTCCAACCTTGTCTATGTGTTTAGGCCTAGAGGCCCTAGTATGCCAACGTACAGTACCCAGCTCCAACCTTGTCTATGTGTTTAGGCCCAGAGGCCCTAGTATGCCGATGTACGGTACCCAGCTCCAACCCTGTCTGCGTGTTTAGGCCCAGAGGCCCTAGTATGCCGACGTACGGTACCCAGCTCCAACCTTGTCTATGTGTTTAGGTCCAGGGGCCCTAGTATGCCGACGTACGGTACCCAGCTCCAACCTTGTCTATGTGTTTAGGCCCAGGGGCCCTAGTATGCCGACGTACGGTACCCAGCTCCAACCTTGTCTATGTGTTTAGGCCCAGGGGCCCTAGTATGCTGATGTACGGTACCCAGCTCCAACCTTGTCTATGTGTTTAGGCCCAGGGGCCCTAGTATGCCGATGTACGGTACCCAGCTCCAACCTTGTCTATGTGTTTAGGTCCAGGGGCCCTAGTATGCCGACGTACGGTACCCAGCTCCAACCTTGTCTATGTGTTTAGGTCCAGGGGCCCTAGTATGCCGATGTACAGTACCCAGCTCCAACCTTGTCTATGTGTTTAGGCCCAGAGGCCCTAGTATGCCGACGTACGGTACCCAGCTCCAACCTTGTCTATGTGTTTAGGCCCAGAGGCCCTAGTATGCCGACGTACGGTACCCAGCTCCAACCTTGTCTATGTGTTTAGGCCCAGGGGCCCTAGTATGCCGATGTACAGTACCCAGCTCCAACCTTGTCTATGTGTTTAGGTCCAGGGGTCCTAGTATGCTGATGTACGGTACCCAGCTCCAACCTTGTCTATGTGTTTAGGCCCAGGGGTCCTAGTATGCTGATGTACGGTACCCAGCTCCAACCTTGTCTATGTGTTTAGGTCCAGGGGCCCTAGTATGCTGATGTACGGTACCCAGCTCCAACCTTGTCTATGTGTTTAGGCCCAGGGGTCCTAGTATGCCGATGTACGGTACCCAGCTCCAACCTTGTCTATGTGTTTAGGTCCAGGGGCCCTAGTATGCCGACGTACAGTACCCAGCTCCAACCCTGTCTGCGTGTTTAGGCCCAGAGGCCCTAGTATGCCGACGTACGGTACCCAGCTCCAACCTTGTCTATGTGTTTAGGCCCAGAGGCCCTAGTATGCCGACGTACGATACCCAGCTCCAACCTTGTCTATGTGTTTAGGCCCAGGGGTCCTAGTATGCCGACGTACGGTACCCAGCTCCAACCTTGTCTATGTGTTTAGGTCCAGGGGCCCTA